GCAGTAGCAGTTAAAATGGCTGGTAAATATTCAACACAATCACAGGAGTATGCCCAGGAAAGACTCCAAAAATAATAATAATAATAAAAAAAAAAAAACTATCTGGAAAGAATACCACCAAATCCCACAGCAAGTAGCACCCTCAGCTGCTATTATTCATAATGAAAACTGATTTCTAGCAAAAATTCTGTTACTCCAGCTTCAGTATGCTCTTCACACTTCTGGATAAACTATTTAATTCTAAGGTTATAAAAATTTATCATTAGTTTTGAGTCTTCTCAGTCACAGATACAAGCTTTACGCGAGAGAAAACCAAAAAGCAAAGCTTCCATCCCGTAAGAAATTCTGGTGGGTTTGTTCTAAAATGGAAATACTGGGCAAAAAAAAAAAATCTCTCAGTGTGTATTTCAAAGAAATTCCCATTATTTTTCAAGCCATGTTATTTTGGAGGAGAGACCAGGATTACTCCTCCATAACCTATCTTGTATAGTGCAGTGCCTAAAAAATAGAGGCAAATGTGACCATAGCTCCCATTAGGTTTATTGTAGCCACTGGTTCACAATGCACAAAAAAACCCAAAGCAAAACCAAAGCAAACCAAACAAACCTACACCAGCAAGAAGTATCTGATTTTTGCCAAAGGAAAAGTAACCTTCTGACAAGGAAGGTTTATACATCAAGGAAATCCTATTTTCTGATGGGAAAATATACACAGTTGTCAGGCTTTATCAACAACTTGTAACAAGGTATTTTGATTTTTAGTTTTTTCACCTGAAAATGTAAAATTTTTTTGTATTCCACATTTCCTTACCTTCTCATGATTCTCAATTTCAAGATATGTTATTTTCTTTTATGATAACGCCAGTGCTGCCTGAAATAATACCATGCTCTTAATATTAAATTCTGAAAGTTTATGAAGTGTGTGCAACTTCAGCATTGAATTTGAATTTAAAGGGAAAAAAAAAAAAGAACTCAGTATTGCTTTTCTTTTCAAAGAGACATGTTGGCTATGTATAGTTCTCTTATGGCTACATAAACTCCTAGTATCCTAAACAGGCAACAGATACACCCTTTATCCTTTTCATCTTACAACAAAATCAACAATTATTTTAGAAAAATAGCTTTTGACACTCAACATTGCATCTAAACCATCACAACTAAAGATCTCATTTCCACAGATCAGAGGAAGGAGGTTAAAAGCCATTGCACAAATTCACAGATCTGGTAATTTTAACTGCGGAAGGTAAGATGGAGTGGAGATGCTAACCATCACCCACGCTTTGCCTCATCACATCATCAGAATTCCTAAGGAAAAGAAATCAAATGATTCGATAAACATATCAAAACATACCAAAAATTAAACTGAAGTTAGCTTTGGCCTGCTGTGAGATCATCAGCAGTCATAAGGACTGGGAAGTCTATTTTTGTTTTGTTTACAAGTAAAAGCTGAAAAGCACTACAAGTGCCCTCAGTCTGAAAGTCAGAAAATTGGGAAATGTCTTTTTGTTGAAGTTAATCAGAAACAAAATTTGCTAAAAATGCAGAGAATTTCACTTATTAAAAAAACCCCTTAGTGCAGACTATCATTTAATAATTTAGTATCTTATTAACAAGCTAATAGCTGTGATCTCTGAAGTTATGCACTAGAAAC